AAAATTGCATTAGCTTCAATTTAAGATATATATAAAAGTGTCAGACCTTCCGGAACATTTTCAAAAGTTAAGTTGAAAAAGTTAATTTTTGTTAAAAAGTTGTCATTTTAAATCCCCCCTTGTGGGCAGGTTAAGGGTTAAATTTTTGGAAAAAATATACCAAATGAAAGGTAATGATATTATGCATCTATATAAAAAAAAATTATATTGATATGTTTATTTTTGAAAAAGTTATGGCACTTTTAAGTAAAAAAAATTTCGAAAATTAGCGATTTTTAAATTCGTAATTTTTTTGGAGGTTTCCCCCATTTACGGAGAACGAGGGATTTTTTTTCAATTTTTGAGGGTAATGTCTTCAACTAGATACAATTTGTGATCTTTTGACGTATCATTGAAAGAAATCGGTTCGGTGAGAGCTGAGAAAAAGTGGTAACAGACAAAAAAAAAAAAAAAAAAAACACATCTTAGTAAAACCAATACCTTCTCAGCTTCGCATCGAAGCTAAAATTACTGTAAATAGTAATTATAAAATTTCTTGATTGTATATGTATCTATGAATACCATTTTTACTATTTAACGATGTCAATTTCAAACTTACAAATTGATCTTAAAAGTTATGGTATAAATTCATTTTTTTTTAAACTTTTATAAATTTACATTATAAACTTTTATTTTAAAAGACAAAAAAAAGTAGGTTAAAAATTATTACTTTTAACATATTAAAAATCAATAATAATTTGAAAACAATTATTTATAAAAATTGTACAATATATAAGTAAAAGAATTACTAATCATCCCAGATTAATTAAGGAAATAGAAGTTAATGTTGCTTTTGTAATTGTCTACCAATTTCTTAGAATTAAACACTATCTACAGATTCGCATCAAAGCGTTTCTTATGATAGTGATTTTAATCACTGTCAGATTATATCTATACTGGACCCAGTTATGCCACATCCTCTCTGTGCTATGTTTTTTTTTAGAAATAATTTATATAGCAACATGTTACAAAAAAATTTGTAATATTATAGTCTAGTAGTAGCATAAAATAGAGTAAAAAAACTATTAAATTACTAAGTAAAATGATTAAATTTTGTAGTTGAAACCTATCATATCAAACTTAATTCGTCAATAAATACTTTGAAAACATTAGAAATAAATGATTTTAATTGTCTGTATGGAGAACATGGTATAAGTAACTGTTTAATTGATAAATTAGAATTTTTTTCAATTTTTGTGGGTAATATCTTAAACTAGATACGAATTGTAATCACTTGAGGTATCATTGAAAAAAGTAGGTCAAGTGAGAGCAGATAAAATAAATGACATTCACAAAAAACTACCCTCTCATCGGTGCATTGAAGCTAAAACCTAAAATATAGTAATTAAGTAAAATTAAAACTATATTAAAAATATTATTAATTTAAAAAAACTAAAAAATATTAAAAATATTATTAATTTAAATAAACTAAAAAATATTAAAAATATTATTAATTTAAAGAAACTAAAAAATATTAAAAATATTAAACTCAAAGCCACAAAAAAATTAATGAAAAGTCGCGGATACGTATTTCGGAAACAATGTTACCATTATCAACGCTAAACACATACTGACACCCCGATTAGAAAAAACTCCCTTATATACCCCTAGTGACCTTATCACCTAATGACGTCATCACTAAGTAATATTGTCACATTTTGCCAGTTTACACAAGTTTAATAATGAATTTTTCAGTGGGCCAAGATCCCAATTAATTAAATTGTTTTTATTTTTAAACATTTCTATTGCTTCTCTGATATTAAGTTCTTTGTAATTATTTACGTTTTTAATTAGTTTTATGGTTTTAATGGAGTGATTATGTGTCAATAAATGTTCAGCCACTGGAGATTTCTCAACTTCTTGATTTTTAATATTTCTTAAGTGCTCTTTAAACCTATATTTCTTTTTGTTTGTCCTACGTAACATTTATTACGACTTTTACATTGTATTTTATAAATGCCTGATTTCTCCCCTTCATCTAACTTATCTTGAGGGTTACCTAATAAATCTCTTAAATTATTACTCTTAGATGTTACCAAAGTAATACCAAAATTCTTAAATATTTTAGTTAATCTATTTGAGATCCCTGGATTATTATATAATTATTTTATTATATTCTATAAAATTCTTTAAATACACTTATACTCAGTGGCGTATTTAGAGGGGACACAGGAGCACGTGCCCCCCATTGACTGAGTCATGTAAATATTTTATTAAGCAATGTAATAATGTATAATATTATTAGAAAAAGTTATTTTTTGATTATCTATAATAACATGGGTTTATGAAATGTTAGTCTTGTAGATCAAAATTTGACGTCCGCACAGTTGTCCCGTTAATGTTATCGCCTATTTTTGAAGTGTTTATTACGTAAAGTTACATACTGTATAAAAAGAAATAATTTAAAAAATAATAATGGATTTAAAACAAATAACAGATCTTTTTTCAAAAAAATCTAAAACATGTGATTAATATGTGATGAGAAAAGTTATAAGCAAAAAAAATTTAGTTTTATAATAACTTATTCATGAACATTTTTCTGTCCCCCCCCCTATAAATTTCTAAATAGGCCACTGCTCATACTCCTTGGTTCAATAGAACATAGTCAATACAGTAGTGTCAGAGTTTATTCTTCTCATTCATGCCTATTTTATTTTATTTGTCCTTCGTATTATATAATAATTTTTAATCACAACTTGAAATATGTTAAATTTATAAAAGAATTTGTAATTTTGGTTTTATTATTTTGAACATTTAAAACCCATGTATGTGACAGTGTCTGATTGTACTTAGGGCAAAATCAATTTATTTGAATTTGAATTATTATTTAATTAAATTAAACTATAACAGAAACACCACCGCCCATTCTACTAGTCAACCAGTTGTTTTTATTCCTTTTACCATAGAGTAAAGATAAGAACTTAGTACATCGAACAATAGTACTGATTTGAAATATTAGATGTGTCATTTACAACAAAATTTCACTATGTTTTGGTCTAGTAGAACCTCGGCTAGTGGCGAATCCGATTTGGGTTTATGTGATTTCATTGGTGAAATTCTTAAGGCCAGAAAACTGTGAACGTCACAATGTAAATACTCACTTTTCAATAATTAGTAATAATATCAAAAATTAGAAGTGATCGAAAAAGTCTAATTGCAGATTCGAAAACAGCGTAAAAAATTTATTTAGAAAAGTATATTTTTGATTCTGATGAATGTTCCTAAGAAAAACAATTTTTTTATAAAATATTGCATCAAGCCCTTTAATTTTTATACATGTTTTCATGAAATAACAAAATATACTACTTAATCATGTTTTATTATTTCTCTATAAAAATTACAATATTAAATTATTAAACATTATTTTCATACTATGCTTTATTGATATAAAAAATATTTATTCATAAATTATTCTTTTAAATCTAAGAACTACTAATCAGGATACAATTAAGGAAATAAGAGTTGATATTGTTTTTATAATAATCCACCAATTTCTTACAATTAAACACTATATACAAATTTGTATCGAAAAGTTTCTTATGATTTTAATAACTATCAGATATCATCTATACTTGTGCCAAATATGACACGACTCCACTGTGCTACAGTTTTTTCTCTCTTGCGATGTCCAAATTATTCTTAATTCCCTAAAAAATAAATATTCTAATGATTCTGATGGCATCCTAACTTGTCTTTTGTATTATTACCGTCTTTTAATTAATAAAATAGTATAGAATGATCCGTTTATTATTAACTACATAATATTCTCAAAATAAATACAATATTGAAAAAAGAGTTTAGTTTTTTTTTTAGTTAAACCTATTCTTATAAATTACTGTATGTGTCAACTTTATATTATAATGACAACTCACATGTTTAACCAGGTTATAAAATAGGAAATTATATTATTAAGAAAATTATGTGCTAATTATAAATATTTGAGTTAATACTTTGGAAGTTATAACAGTTTTAAAATGTGGACTAGGGAAGGTGTGGGTTTGACAATTTATATAATCAGACATTTCTCGACTTCACTTCTCCTCCCGTCTAAGCATAAAAATGTAAATATCTTTTGTAGTACTGGTCCAAAATTTGTTAGAGATCAGTCATATTTTTAATTGGATTATTTTCTACTTTATTAAATAGTTAAATATGTTTAATGATAAAATTGACACAACAATAAGCTCTTAGGGAATGAACTAATAACTGATAAATAAAGAAATATATGTAACTAAAAAAACTTTTTTTCTAGTATTGTATTGATTTTATTAGTAAATCAATTGGCTTTTTAATAAACTGATCACTCTGTGTATGTTAAATTAAACCTTGTATTACATACCAAATTAAAAATAAAAAAATTATCCATATTATATCCCGTCTTCTATATTTAAATACAAAATAAATACAATTTTTTTATTAAATAAAGATGCATTAAATGGGTGTACTTACCCCCTCACATGTGATTATAATTTTTGACCTAAAATAGAGGTATAAATAATAGACAATAAAATAGAATTTATTATACAAGTTATTGTATGTGTAATGATAAATCTGTATAAATACTTTAATTCTATTATTTCTTTAATATTTTTTTATACGATTTGATGGTTTTAAATTAATTGTTTATTTTTAAAAAGTATTAAAACTACGTTATTTGCATGAGATAAAAACTGCACAGATTTGTTTGTATAAACATTTAAAAATGTTATATAACGTTAGTTGATCTGAATTTTCTAATAGTATTTTTCAGTTTGTCAATTATTAAGTTTTTTTATCGAATTTGGTAGTGTATTATTAACATTTAATTTAAAATAAATTAAAGATAGTTTACTGAAGTTTTAAAAAGTTTATTCATTTTCAAGACCAACGGTTTTTTCTTGCCGTCCTCTTCTGCTTAGACAACGTCAGGAGTGTGCCAATGAGATAATTTAGAGTCAGCGGTTAATGTAACAGCTGATACCTCACTAGTATACTGCGGACCGACAACACGCGCTCTCCTTAGTTGACTGGAGTACGACACCGGGTTATTGAGTTCGTTTTACGCTGGTGTTGTTTTATAACATTATTTTATTTTATTTGCTTATATCTAATTGTGTTTTTGTGTTAATACTGTCGATGAGTAATAATCGTTTACAGTAATATCGTATTAGTTCGTTTTCCTTTGATTTATCCGTTCATATTAAATTATACTTATGACTTAAAATTATAATTCACAGCATCTAATCATTTTTTAACGGTTTATTATACCACGAATATATTTTATGATTTCTTCTAGTAGAAACTTTAAAATATCTGTTCATCTGCAAATATGTTAGGAGTTTTTAAAAAGCGATGGAAGCCTAAAAACAGGTAATTTATTTTTATTTGGAAAAAAAAATATTCTTAGTTGCGACAGTCTAATTATTTAATTCGGAAATGTCTAACGCATAATAAGATAAATTTTGAAGACCTGTTAGGTATTTTGTAAAAAAAAAACATTATTTTGTTTTAAACAAATCAAAAAGAAGTTGATTACGTTTTTTGGAAATATAAGCGATTTTGATTATATGAAATAATAAATTAAAAATAATGCAAATTTTTTTTGCATTCAATTTGCTTTTATTTAATGCTGATTAGTATTTAATTTATGACTACAAAAATTGTTTGTATTAAAACTCTATAAACAAAAGTAAATCATAATTTCCTTTGCCAAAAATTAAAAATGTCTACATTGCATTATTTGTCAAATTCAAAGGTGTAAGAATAATTAGCTAAAAAAAATTAATTTTACTTTATTTAAAAATTTTATAACTATTTCTTGATTAAAAAATCTTTTATACTTAATTAAGTATAAAGGATGAATAATTATTTCAAATCAGCTATTGACATATATTATCAAAAGAAACATTGAATAATATTGTTGAATATTTAATGTATTTATTTTTAATTAATTGCTAATTGGACAGTTTTAACATTTTTAATGTTATTAGCGTTATCCATAGGTTTATGATATAATTCAGATTATACTACGCTTTTTAAATTTTATTATCTTCTGGAAAAATTAATACAAAACTCTAGTATATGTCACGTTTTCGTGAATATAAAGTTAGGTAAATTAATTATATCAAAATAATTAAAAATAAATCGGTAGACTACTATTACATAATTATTATTTTTCTTTTTTTAAATGTGTAAAAAAAGTAGTATATGATTTTAATTTTAATTTTTTTAACTATTGCTATAATAATTTTATTCTTCCCGATTTGTTTTTGCATAATTTTTAATAGCAAAACTTAAAATATATTTTTAATAATAATCATGGAGGGTTAAATGTATATAGTTTTAAATAATTCATTTATTTTAGAACCAATGGAATTATTTACTATAGTTTACATTTTTGATCGAACGTATATTAATCGTACAAGAAAAGTAAACATCGATAATATCATTAGATTTACATTCAAACAATATTCAAGTAGAAATTACTTGAAAAACTGTATCGATGTATTGAAATTTTTTGCTTAAATTAATCATAGAACATTCTTTTCTATTACTACACATTACGTGTTTGAATATTTATACACATTTAGAGTTTTTGATATTCAAATAGGAATAGATTTTGTTAATCTTTAAAGATAACATTGCAAAAAAGAACTATATCACAACACGGGAGTCCTGTGTTGTATCGATTACTCGGTGACCTCGAAGCAGACAATAATTGGGTCAGACGATTTTGGTTTACGATAATTCTTATAAAAGTACATTTTACTTTGAATTTTGAAATCTCGTCAATAGTCTTCATATTTCTATATTCCAAAGTATATGTGAAGAATTTGCTAGGATTTATTTTTGTTGTCACAATTCCTTTTAGTCCATTTCATCCCACATATAGTCATGTGCAATTTACGGTAATTCTGATGTGTAAAGTGTTCGGAGTAAGGAAACAGGTTTCCATTGTTTTCATTTTTTGTTACAATAGACCTGTTTCCTTACTTACTGAACACCCTGTATATTATGTGACAACTATACAATTACCAACAATGTTTCATGATAATAATAATAATAAATTAAATAATGACGTTTTATTTCACAACAAATAAAATTACATAAATAATATGTTTACAATATAATAATAATTTTTGCAATACCCCAAAATTGCTAAGTTTGTAAGCAGATATATAATAATTATAATTGAGTACATAGTTATAGCTAATGATTGAAAAGATAAACATATATTTCAGAAGAATTGTATTGCGTCAACCATTTTTCATTAAGATTATCAAAAGGTTTCTTACGTTTAGTACCAAATAAAAATGGAATAATTTCTTGTACAACATAATTCCAACATAATATTTTTTCCAAACATATATTTTTGTCATGAAATTCAAACCAATCTATTAACTTGATGTTAGTTAGTATTATTAAAACTATAAAGCAATATTTTGTTTTTCGATTCTCTACTTTTTTGATAAATAAAGGTTATTATATTCTAACCAATATTCTTAATTTTCAAGTCTACGAATAACATTTTTCCATGAACTATTATATGAGATACGACTATTGCTATACCCTGCAAATTTAAATGTCTAATACTTTTAATACTTTAATTTAAATTTATTTTAAAATTTCCTAGTCAATAAACTACTAACTTATCATACATTTATGAATCTTGTTCAACTAAATTAAGACATATTTTCACTTAAATTTCCGATAAAAAAATTGCCTACATTTGTATATTTGTTTTCTATATAATATAATAATTTCTAGCATTCGATACACACTGAATTAATTTTTATCTAATCTTTAATAATTAAAGACTTCATTTATTTCAATTATATAAATTAATGATACATTATTATAATACTTCATAATTTTTTTATCAAAAAAGGTAAGTTGTTTATTGTTTACTTAATGTAAAAAAAAAAAATCAATTCCCAAGTAATTAGAAAAAAAGATTATTTTTTAAAAAAATTCATTAATCATTCTTGTTTTTATTAAAATTTTTATAAAGGTGATAGTTAAAAATTATTAAAAATAATTAAACAAATAGTTATTATTTATTATTTTTTATGTTCACTAATCGATTTTTTTTTAATATAATAACATTAGTTTAAAATTTAATATTTATTTTCATATGAACAATTCCTTAAAATTACTATGTTAATTTTAATAATGGTATCATTAAAAATATATTATTTAAAAAATAATATACCGAATTAAATTTTATAATGAAATTTAAATTAGCTGTGTACTTATATTCACTAATTGCGTTGTATTTCGTGCTAATGCGAACGCACGTGGAGCTCAAGGCGTCTGCTATTGATTTTTTTTGCCATAAACTGACCTATACTAATAGCCAAAAAACAAAATACTAGGAGCGCTATTGCGGTTGGTGTGTGTATTTGGTTACCCAATTCTGTTTCTTATTTAATAATAATCATGTAAAATGCAATTTTGTTGTAATAGAAATTATTACAAACACTAATAATAATAAACACTCCTGGGAATTAAATACAATACACGCATACGAATTTAATGAATTGTATTAATTTCATTTTTCTATAACAGTACATGTAAGTAAATTAATATTATGAGAAAATGCAATACATTTGATATTATAATGAGAACATAACGCAGAAACCCTACTATTTTGATACATATGTATTTATAAAAACACTTCTATGGTGTTTGCAATTTCGTTTACGGTTTTTCTGAATCATACATAAAATCATATTTTTATCATTATACCATCTTTACATTTTGTTTACTTAGGAAAACTCAAAAGGTCACTCTAACTAAAGAAATAATTCATGTAATATTTTCTGCATAGTGTATGTTTATTTTGTAGCTATTTTTATAACATAAGTATATACTTGTTTAGTATGAACATACTTTGTAAATTGAATTGATAATAACATTATGTAGGTGTGAAAATATTGAGATATTTATCAGGTAAACGCATGCAATTTTTGTGTAAATTGTATAAGAATACTCAAGTTTTATAAATGTGCAAATTATATGATAGCCAATATATGAAAAATAACAATATTGGATGTGGAGGGATGAAATCAGTGAGTTGGTGAAAATATCTCATATTGTCATTCATTTATTCCAAATGATTGACATTTTATGGATTATATATGGTATTCTTTAGTAAAATTTTCTTTAAATTTAAAATATTTAAAAAATCTGAAAATTATTTAAAGTCAAATTCTTTTACTAGCTAATAATATAAATTTTTTGTATGAAAAAAATTATGTTTATTATTATAATAGTTGTTGAGATATTTATGTGACAAACAGTAATAACACAGTTGGCTCTAATTCAACTATTTGTAACTTGACTATGTAGTTTTTGCTCTGGAAAACTGGCAAGAATGAATTCTACACCTGCATTCTTTATGTTTATTTCTTTTTTTCTCTTTTGGTAGTTAATTTTATTTTATATATATTGCTGTAATCTAATTACACCAATATTTTTGTATTATCGACCGGAAACTTAAAATTTAGAATCGCGTAAAAACATAAAACCGAAATCATAAAAATAACATCCTAAAAATTGATATGGAAACCAAGTTTCACACATATCTCAGTTTTATTGTCATTATTTATTTATTTTTAAACTAAAAAATTTAAATATACCAAAGTAAATATGGTTAAAGTAACAAGGTTATAGTGTCTAGCGACATCGTTATAGGTCTTAATTTCTATTCTGTAATAGATTTACAGACTAAAGGGAAAAATTAGGTTACGATACTCATTTCTAGGTGATGATGTCTATTGTTATTAATGATAATTAAATAAAATTATTCGTGTACGTAAATTATTTGGACGTGGTGTGGCCCAGTAAATCATTCAGTCGCCGCCTTAGCTTTTATGTTCAACTAGACTGTTTGCTGTTGATTTCCGGATGGGTGGCTATCCTGGAGCTTTATATTACATTATATTTATTTATTATTATTATATTTCGCTTTAAATTTTTTTTTGTAAAATGCACTTTAAAAAAAAAAATAATTTTCTTTATTTAACTGTAATATGATTTATATTACTCATAATCAAATCTTATTATTTTAAAGCTATTCTTATAAAATACTTTTATTTATTAAAATGCTTGGAATTTAATAAATATTAGTTCTAAAATTGTTATCAATCTATTGATAATTTTTTTTTAAAGAAAAGAGCTATCTATATAGTAATTTTAATAGTTTAAGAAAAAATTAAATTATTAATAAGAAATGTGATCCTAACCTAGTCAATTTAAAATTGTTGGCATTAGTTAGATCCATTAGCGCAATTTTAGCAATATTTTTGGACCGGTATGTTTTATCTAATTTATCCTTCTCTAAAATGTCTATTTATATAATTATAAAT